TATAACTGACACCCAAGCAGATATATGCACACCCATGTTTATCGCGGCTTTGTTCACAATAGCAAGGAGTTGGAAACAACCTAAGTGCCCATCAACAAATGAATGGATAGAGAAGGTGTGGTATATTCACACAATAAATTTTAGAAAAAAAAAGTAGAATGATAGTCTTCATGTTTCAAATTGCTATCTGTAAAAACAAACAGTAAACAATATTAGTGTTTTTTTCTGGTTTTCCTTTTGAAAAATTATTTAATACTAATAAATACTCTATTTGAAAAAAAAAAAAAAGGAAATGTCAAAGCCACTGCTGTCAAGTTGGAGCCAATTCATAGCTGACACTCCTGCAGGTTTTGGATGCTGCGGATCACACAGGAGGAGACTGCTCATCTCTCTCACAGAAGGTTAGTGGATTCAAATCACCAGAGAGTTGTGGCCTCTGGGTTAGCAGCACAGCTGCCTTCAAACTAGGCCAGAGCGCCCTCATGGAGTGTCCAGTGAGTTCAAACTAACAGCCTTTCTCTGTAGCAGCCCAAAGCTTTAACCTACTTGTAGCCCCAGGACTCCCGGACAGAAGAAAAGGAGGCCTGACTACAAGTATGGCTGAGTTGTATTGCTTGTTTGCTTGTTTTTTTAATTAAGAAAGTTAACTCTGAATGAACTAGAAAGCTTCCTGATAATATGATTCAAGATCCAAAATAGACCAATACCACAGAGAAAAAATGGAAACAAGTCTTTAAAAAAAACCCATTTCCTTATAAAACGCTGGTTTTGGATTCAGGTTCAGAAGGACACCTAAAATGGAATTGGCAATAACACAAAATAACATCAGCAACAAAACTCCCAGTAAGTCAGGAATACGATGACTTTTTCTTAATGTGATTTTTACGTATTAAGTGTGTTCACACTTAACAAAAAATCCTAAGAAAGTTTCTCATTATATTTAAGGACGTTAAAATTGCCCTTTTAAACCACTTTACTCAATAACTGAATATGTCATAAAGCACCATAAGAGCAAACTAATCTTGTTTTGGAGGGAGTGCAGCCAGAGTGCTCCTTTGAGGCGACGATGGTGCAATGTGGAGTCACATATTTTGGGCATGTTGTAAGGAGGGGCCAGTCCTTGTGGACACCATGTTGGTCAACACGGAGGGCAAGTGAAGGAGAGGAAGACCCTCAACAAAGTGGACTGAGGGCGACTGAATAATGGGCTCAGCACAGCAGAGATGGTGAGGGTGAGGCAGGGTTTCGTCGTGCTGTTTTGTATATAGTTTGCTATGAATTGGAGGCCCCTCAATGGCACTTAACAATTGTTCAATATAAAAGAGTCCTGATGGCGTAACGGTTAAAGAGCTTTTCTGTCAATCAAAAGTTTGGGAGTTCAAATCCACCAGACCTATGTGGCAGCCGGTTTTCATGAAGATTTACAGCCTTAGACACCTTCTGGGAAAGGACTTGGCTCAACAGCAATGTGTTTTTTTTCATTATTAAATATTATTCTGTGAATTCTAATTAATAAAACAAAACATATAGAGATAATATGTAAAATAGCAGAAATTTTAAAAAATCTCAGTTTTTCTTTTCTGCAGATGATATGACTGCTTACTTAGAAAGCTCAAAGGAATCAACTGAATACCCCAGTAGAATTAATTAAAAAGCTCAACAAAAGAGTTGGCTGTAAAACTAATAGGCATAAATCAAGGCTAATGATAAACACTTAAACATTATAATGAAAAACCACCACATTAATGGTATTAGTTAAATACTATAAATTTAGCAGGAAAAGTTCAAGACCTACATGAGTAAAGCAGAAGCCTCAAAATAAATAGCAAGAGACGAGGCAAATTCTCTTCAGATTTAATTCAACTTCAGTCAAAATCCCAACAGATATGCAAGTTTTGGAACTGAAAATGGTAAGAGCAAAGAAAAGCGAAAACAAAGAATGAGAATGTTCCCTATCAAATGTTTGTTTTTAAAACCAAACAAACTCACACAGCTGTATGGTCGACTCTGACTCACAGTGACCTCCAGCGGGTTTCCAAAGCTCTAAATCTTTCCAGAAGGAGCCTTCCCATCTTTCTTCCGTGGGGAAACTGGTGGATTTGAACTGCTGCCTTTCTGTTAATAGCCTGACATGTTCCCCACAGAAATTCTTGAGCAGTAAGGATTGACGTCAGAACAATCAGATCATTAGAAGAAACTGAAGCTGTTTCTAATTTAAATCATTTCCTTCTACTTAGGGCAACCATCACAGAAGCAGCAGTCAAAAAATCAAATGACTTACTGCATTGGCTAAATCTGCTGCAAAAAAAACCTCTTTTAAAGTCTTAAAACGCAAAAGACATCACTTGACGGAAATCATAGTCTCTTGAGTCTCCTCATCTGCCTGCAAAAGCTAGATGATGAAAAGGAAGACATAAGAAGAATGTATGTGTTCTGACTGTGGTGCTGGTGAAGAATACTAAATATATAGAGGACTGTTAAAAGGATGAGCAAACTAGTGGTAGGAAGAAGATCATCAAAATACTCCACAGAAGCAAGGATAATGGGGCTCTGACTTGCTTACTCAGGGTAAGGGAAGACCAGTCACTAGAAAAGCCTACTGTGCTAGACTTGATATACCAAACCCACCCGCCAAGAGAAACCAGTGGCTGTGGAGTTGTGGATCCACGTGTTTCCAAGGCGATTCACATTTGATGAGATTTTTCAAGGCTGTGAAGTTTCAGAAGCAGACTGTCACACCTTTCTTCCAAAGTACCTCTAAATAGGTTTGAACTCACACTCTTTCGGTTAGGTGCCAAGTGCTTAGTCATTTGTTCCATCCAGGCACTTGGTAGTAAAATAGTCGGGTGACCAAAAGTGAGGGTAACTAACCCTCAACAAGCTGGAGTGACATCACAGGTTAAACAATGAACTCAAACAGCAATATAAGGTCACCATGAACAGATCCAGGCAACAACTAAGGACAATGAAGTGAGATCATTAGTAAACCGGGGGCTCTGGTGGCTTAGTGGAAAGCAGCCGTGTTGCAATTCCAAAGGTATGTGGTTTGGATCTACCAGCTGTTCTGTGAGAGAAAGACAGGCACTCTCCTCCAGTGTAACTGCATCTGCAATCCGCTGGAGGGTCAGTTATGAGTTGTTTCTGACTCGATGGTACATAACAACAACAGAAATAATGAGATAACACAAAGTGTTATTATTAACTGTTCCGCAAGAACTAGCTTTCCATTTTTGTTTGAAAAGAAAAAGATTCCTTTATACCATGTACAAAAAGGAACTATTTATCATATTATTTAAAAATTTCATCCAAGAAACAAAGTCGTGAAACAATTACAATGCAAGAGAATATCTTTAACATTTATTGTTGTTAGGTGCTGTCGAGTGGAGTATGGCTCATAGCAACACTGTGAACAACAGGCTGACCTCTGCCCTATCGTGTGCCATTCTCATCACTGACACATGAGCCCACTGCTGTAGCCACTGTGTCAATCTATTTTGTCAGGATCTTCCTTTCCTTCACTGATTTTTCTATGATGTCCCTTTCCAAGGAATAACTTCGCCTAGCAACATGTCCAAAGTATGAGAGACAGAGCTTCTTCATCTTTGTCTCCAAGGAGTACTCTGGCTGCACTTTCTCCAAGACACATGGGAGTATTTTCTCTAGAACACATCAAAGCATAAATTCAAACCCATTCTTTCCATTTCAGTCATAGCTGATAAAGCAAAATCTGAAACTAAATCAGAGTCAGTAATCATAGACAAAGAGAAAGATGGACATAAAATGAAACTTATTTTAAACACAAGATAGCATATCTTAAGTGAAATTACAAAAGTCAACATGAGGAAAATACTACAATGTGCTCTTAATTTTACAAAAAAAGGTGATAAGGATCTAAATAAGTCAAAATCAAACCCAATTCACTGCCATGGATTCCAACTTTTGATGAATCTCCATGAATTTGCAAGACTAAATTTTTATAGGAGCCTGTGCATCTTTCTCCCAAGGAGTAACTGGTGGATTCAAACCAATGACCTTTTGGTTAACAGCACAAGCTTAACCAAAGCTTTATTAAGGTCTTACATAGTCAATTAAAAAATGAAGAAACACAAAGGCCAATTAGCATTTGAAAAGCTACCCAACCTTTTCAACAAGCAAAGAAAGGCAAATTAAAACAGTTTCCCCAGTTTTTTTTCGGGCAAACAAGATTCCCGCAGAGCCTCAAGGAAGCAGTGCTTCAGTAAGAAATAAACTACACCAATGTAGAAGGTGTGAGGAGATATATATATATATATATACACACATATAAATAGCTGGGATGCCCAAAGGAAGCTCTGGTGGTGGTCTAGTGGGTATGGAGCTGTGCTGTGAATCCACAAGCATGTGGTTCATATCCACCAGTTGATCTCAGGGAGAAAAATTAGTAATCTCCTCCCATGTGATTTACAGCCTCTGAAAACCCACTGGTGGGAAAGCTATGAGTCAGTTCCAACTTGATGGCAAGGAATTGAATTGAGTTTTTGGGGAGAGTCAGAGAATATGAAATTTTTTGCAGAATAATTCCCAAAAACTAGTATCCATGTTGTTGTTATTGTTAAATACATCATTATTTATAATAAAAGGGAATGGAAAATAAGTAATATTCACCAAGATTGGTTCTGATAGACTAAATTATAATCCTTGATCTCTACAGATGCTGCCGGTCCACAAACCACATACTACACTTGAATTTAAGGCACTATTATCATTGCCTGTCAAGTTGTTTCTAACTCATAGCAACTCTACTAGACTGAAAAGAAGCATCTCATGAGGTTTCTAAGGCTGTAACCTCTGCTAGAGTCAAACATCAAGTTTTTTCCTGGAGAGTTCAAAACTCTGACCTTTAGCAACTGAGCACTTAAGGACTGTACCATCAGCTGCGAGTTCTAGGAGATTCTTAAGCACAGCAGTGTGATGTCTTTGAGTCTCCCTCTACCAACCCAACCTCCAGGGAGCCAGCTCACCTAGTCAGCTCTGGGGTGTGGTGTCTGGTATTGGAGCAAAAGATGTTGTTGGATTTGCGCGTGCGCTCCAGGAACTCGTGCACCGATTGACTGCGGAAATCCGCCAGAGGTCGGGCTTCATGTTTAACAAACCACTGGTGTGGATCAAAACATTTCTTGCAGATGAGCTGCTCACACTCGAAGCACCAGTAGTCCGCGGACTCTTTGCAACGAGTGCAAGTCGCATGGGCACTCACGATCTGCCGGTACATCGACAGGCGCCGCTGCAGACTCTCGAAGAAAACGTTATCCAGCACCTGTGCATTGGTATCCGGGGACCAGGATTCCTGGCAGATGGGGCATTGCATACCCAATTTCTCTAAGCATCCTGAGCACAGGTTGTGCAGACAAGGGAGCAGCTTGGGACACTTGGCTTCAGTCTTGCAGTTCTGGCAACACAGGAACTGGAATTCCTCTGCTGTGGTTCGCTGAGGGACCAGAGAAGGGAATGAAATCTGGAAAAATCCTGGAGTACTTTCCTCCTCCAAGCCCCCCCACCCCTGTGGGCTGGAAGTTCCCTCCATTCAGGCTGTTGAGACCTTATATTTCAATCCTCTTGGTTGATGCAATGACTCTGGTTGATCAACTCCAATCCCTCCACCTACTCAGGCTTCCTTGCTAACATCTACCACCTACTTCCACCAGACACTACTGAGTTATAAGGATGACTAGGACATACTCCTGCCTTCAAGGAACTCAGTTTAGAAGACACCATTCTTAAGTATTTAAGTGTAAGCCTCACATAAAGTGCATTACACAGTACCCAGCATGTGAGCAGCTCTAAATAGATGTTAATTGGTAAACATTAAAGGAGCATTGGCGGCTTAAAGCCATTTCTTCCATTAAGATTTACAGCCTTGGAATTGATGGTTTTAGGATTATTCAGAGTATCAGTCAAAGTTGTGACAATGCCATGAACAAGATTTTCTGTAATTTGGTGTTATTTGTGCTTTCACAAGGGGAGTTTAGTGCCAGGGAAAACACCATGTAAAGGACCTCACCGAGCAGGTAGATACGGTGTGCAAGAATCAGCAAAGGCAAAGCTTTCTGGAGGAAAGCAGCTGCTGATTGGCCAGGGAGGGAGCTCCAAGTCAAAGATCTGGACGGCTTCCTGGAGGAAGCAGCTTGTGCTGTGAGACACTTCTTCTGTTTGGGTCCCAGTGTCCTGCTTCAGATTTGCAAATTTTGGGTTTTTATTTTCTCGGTCCTGGCTCCACTCAGGCGCCAAAGGACTACTCTCTGCCTACTTACTGTTGTTAACCTGTGGCACATCTGAGGCAGGAGCAAGGGCCAAGGGCCCCTGCGGTGGCTGGGAGAACCCTCTGACCCTCCATACTTGTCCTTTGTGGTCAATGCAGAAAGCACGCTGTAGAGGCTGCTCTAACTTACCTTTCTACCCGACCCCACTCTGCTCCACTTCCTACATCTGCCAAGGGGGCCAGCTCGTTGAAATGTGTCTTTCCTCCCTTGTACGATTCTCCAAGATACTTGTCCAGGCTCCATTACACCCTCCTCCTCCTCCTTCCCGCCTCTGTCTGCCACCGCAGAAAATCAACAAGGCCCCAAACCCTTAGAGTAGTCCCCAAACCCAATAATACCTCCGTGGGGCCAGGGCTGGACTGGCGGCCTTCGGAGGTGGACTCTGGAGGTGGCATGGTGGGCGCGTTGGGCAGTGCGGCGTCTTTCTGTGGCCCGGAAAACCGTGCAGCTGTGGGTTCCGGCTGCATGCACCCCAACAGTTTCGATTCTCGGTTTTGATCTATGAAGGCGGGGGGAGAGAAACTGGGCGCAAAGCGTGCACCAGTGGCGGGCTCCCCAGAAGTCGAAAGGGGAGGCTCCCACTCAGCTCCCGCCTCCCGACAGGAAGTGAGACTGGGGCTGGGGCGGTCCTCTGTTCCCAGAGCCTCCGGAGCCCAGAGGGGGGCAGAGAACAGCAGAGGGGCGTTCCCTGGGGGTAAAGTGATGCGGAGAAGCAACCTCCGCCTGGCCTTTCATCCATTGGCTCTGCTGCTCACCTCAGTGCAACTTTGTGCCAGTCTGTGGTGGCAAGGAGCTGCTGTTACTGTTGGTAGGTGCAGTTAACTCGAGCATGGCTCATAGCGACCCTACGAACAACAGATCTGAACCCTGTACTATAACGTGCCATCCTCATCATCTCCAACACATTTGAGCCCGTTGCTGCAGTCACTGTGTCAATCCATCTGGTTGAGGATCTTCCTCTTTCTTTGACCCTCCACCTTTCCAAGCATGATGTCCCTCTCTAAGGAATAGCTTCTCCTAGCAACATGCCCAGAGTATGTGAGATGAAGCTTTGGCATCTTTCCCTTCAAGGAGTATTCCAGTTGCACCAAACAGCTGTTTGTTCTTTTGATAGGTCATAGGATATTTAGTACTCTTTTCCAACACCACAGCTCAAAGGTATAAATTCTTCTATCATCCATATTCATTGTTCAGCTCTCAGATGCATAGCAAATTATGGGAAAGACTATGATCTGAATCAGGTGCACCTTAGTCTTTAAAATGACATCATTACTCTCCAACAATTTGAATAGGTCCATGATAGTGATTAAGACAGACTAGGAACCAGGTTGGCCATCCACTTCTGAAAACCCTATGAACAATAGAATATTAGAGGTAGAACCCAGATCAGAAGTCACTCAAAATGAGGAACAAGAAATGTATAAAGTAGGAAAACTTGAAGTTGTCAAAATTAAAATGGACTGCATGAAGATTGATACTCTAGGCATTAGTGAACTGAGATACACTGTCATGGGCACCTTTGAATTGGACCACCATGTGATCGATTATGCTGGGAATTAAAAATAGAAAGAATGGTGTTACATTCATAGTGAAAAAGACCATTTCAAGATTTGTCCTGAAATACAATGTTGTGACTAATAGGATACTGTCCATATGCACATAAGGAAGACCTGTTAGTGGGGTGAGGTGGCCAGGGAGAAAAGTGCGACAATGAATGAATGGAAATCCAAAATCTCTGTAAACGTCCATCAAAATGAATTTATAAAAAGACCAGTTAGTATGACTGCTACTCAAATATATGCGCCAACAAGGGAAGAAGATTGAGGATTTCGAGAAACTATTGTCAAAAATTGACCAACATGCAGTCAAGGTGTATTAATAATTATTGGTAATTTGAATAAAAAAATTGAAAGCAATGAGAAAGGAATAGTAGTCAGAAAGTAGTTTTAGTGACAGAAATGAGGCTGGACACTGAATGATTGAATTTTATACAAAGAATGATAGACTGATTTATTCATTGTAGATAACTTCTTTTTTCTTTTTTTTAAAGAAAAGGGTGATGTTACACATGGAGCTCATCTAATGGACTGCACAGGAAGCAGACTGACTACATCAGTGGAAAGAATCGTTGGAGAAGACCTGTGTCAGCCGCTGTCAAAACCAGACCAGATGCTGACTGTGGAACAGACCACAGTTACTCGTGTGGAAGCTCAAATTGAGGCTGAAGAAAATGAAAACAAGTCCACAAGAAATAAAAGATGACCTTGAGTCTACCCCACTTGAGTTTAAAATAATCTCAAGAATAGGTTTGAGGCATTGAAGAAAGCCAGGACTGTTGAAAATTCCTCCCCTCCTTCCAAGGCCACCTCTTCTAAATTGCTTCAAAGTATTAGCTTGCTTGAGTCCCCAGAAACAGCTGTGTGCTTTGGGTGGAAAGCTGATTTTACATGCTTCTGCTTCTGAGTTTCACCCTCATCTCCCTAGTGGTGGTGGTGTTAGATGCTGTCGAGTTGGCTACCACTCATAGTGACCTTATGGACCTCACATGAGAACATTGTCCTATCCTGCACGACTCTTAGCATCTCCCCAATATACTCTAGCCCACTGTTAGCTACTGTGTCGATCCATCTTGTTAGTGACACAGGGGTTTGGTATCTTCCTCTCTCTCTCCCCCTCTGACTTTTCATATTTCCAAGCATGACATATTTTCCAAGGACTAACTCTTCCTGACAACATACTCAAAATATATGTAAGATGGAGTTCCACCACCCTTGCCTCTGCGGAGCACCCTGGTTGCACTTCCTTAAAGACAGGCTTGTTTGTTCTTTTGGTAGTACATGAGAGATTTTGTATTCTTCAACAACAAAATTCAAAAGCATCGATTCTTCTTCTGTCCTCCTCATTCACTGTCCAACTTTCAGGTGCATAGGAAGCAACTGAAAGTGCCATGCTTGGAAGAGGTGCACTTTACGGCTTTAAACGGTTGTCCTTGTTCTTCATCACTTTGGAGGGATTTCTAACAATAGGTTTTCCCAATGCAACACATGTTTTGGTTTCTTGACTGCTGTTGCCATGGATGTTGATTGAGGATCCAAGTAAATGAAATCATTCACAACTTTAACCTTTTCTCTGCCTATCACGATGTTGCCCTATATGTCGTCCAATATTATCTATGTTGTTGTTGCAGTGGAGCCAACTCATAGGTAACCATCCAACAGGTTTCAGAAGCAGTAAATCACATGGGCATAGATTGCCCATCTTTTCCCCACAGAGCAGCTGTTGGTCTCGAACTGCGTGACTTTGGATTGGCAGGGTAATTCCATACCTCTAAGACACCAAAGCATATGCTAATTGAAAAAAAAATATAATGAACTCATCTCTTTGGAGGGGTACCCCTGTTAATTTTTTCTTTCTAATAAAATATTTTAGCTCTAATTAACTTGTTCTTGTGTACCGTAGAGTCAGAACCGACCCATAGTTGACCCTCCAGAGGGTTTTCAGAGGCAGTTAATTGTATGGGAGGAGATTACCCATCCTTCTCCTGCAGGGAAGCTGGTGGCCTCAAACTGTGTGCCTTCAGAATTGCAGTGCAGCTTCTTGTCACTAGCCCACCAGAACTCACTTATTGATCAGATTTTTATTTTGATCAGGAACAGAGAAGAACCACACATGACACCCACTTTTGAAAAACCCAAAATCAGCCCAAGAACAGACTTGAGAACAGTCTTGCACAAAGGATTGAGACTGACTGGAACAGAGATCCCTTAGTTAGAATTTTAAGGAACAGAGAAGATTCAGCTGGGATTTGGGGATTGGTAGAATACAGGGGCAGATTCTCCAGTAAACAAGATAAGCACTGCTTTACGTGGGTGGACTATGAAGAACTCTTGAAACTGCTCACTTAGTTAAATAAGCACGGGTTAGACTATACTCACCTGTGCTTACTGTGTACTCCATTGCTGTCAGGAGTTGTAAGTTTGAAAAGAACCCTTGATTCTGTAAGAACTTGGTATGGGGTTGAGAGTGAGGCAGATGCCAGCCAGAAACAGAACCTACGGGGGGAAAAATACAAACTTGTTCACTACAGAATACTAAGTAAGCACAGGAAGCTGATGGGGGAATCCAGCAACAGAAGAATACCTTGAGCAGAGATTAAAATGCTCGCAAAGGCATGCAGGTCAGACCCAGGGCAGCATGTTTAGGAAATTAGTATTGGCTGTTTTCACATTTACTAGGGGATTTAGAAGAAATGAGATGGAAAAAGGCTGTGATGAGATCATAGTTAAGGAGCTAAGACCCACCTGTGAGTCATAAAGAGTGGATGAAGGTTTCCAAAGCTGGGAACAACAATTAACTGTGCATGTTGAGACAGTTATTCTGACAACCTAGGAGCAAGTGGTCTAGTCTAGGGCATTGGCTGTGGAATGCAGAAGGGGTCTGAATCAAAGACACTGGGAGGGAGGACACTGAGTTGAAGGGGGAAGGATGATGTTGTGGATGAGAGCTGGAAAGGCTGGAGAATCTGATGCAGATGGCAGTGGTGTTTGGGGTCAGCGAGCATTAAGAGGGTGAGAAGAGAGCAGGATAGGTCTTGGTCAGTAGGGAAGTGGGCCTGACTATCAGATGGTAAAGGCAGGAAGACACAGCTCTGGGGGATCCTTGCATGCACAATGTCCCTGCTTCCAGCTTTCAACCATCCCAGCCAATGTGCTGACCCCTGTGTACCCATTTCTGTGCTCAGTTCCAACTCAGAACCAACTAGAAATGATGGTGACAGGGTCTTGCTTTTGTAAAGCTCATTAAATGTATGGGAGGTTACTCTCCAAGTATCAAATTAAGAAAAGCTAACAGTGGTGGACAGTTGTGTGCAAAACGGTTCCAGAAGCACACTGAGGAGGTGCCGAGGTTCTTACAGTGGGAAAACAGGCACGTGGCTGAGCCAAACAGTTCAGTCATTTCTTTACTCTCCTTTGAAGGCAATCTGTTGCCAGCCTGTTCCAATAGTTTGTTGGGAGTTAAGTCTTCTCAGTAAATTCACTATTTGACCTCTGGGTTTTATCAAGCCTTGTAGAGTCAAGTTACCTCTGGATACCTGGATCAAGGGGTGTGCTTTCTAGGGTCTCATTTCTGTGAGAAATTATAGCTCTTTGCTCCTCCTTCATTACTCTGCTGTGCTCTCCGAATCTACACAAGAAGTTTCTTTCTGTCTGTGTCAACGTTCAGGCCCTCTTGTCTCACCTTGGACAGCAGTGACCTATATTTTCATCTAGCAAATAAATCCTGTCAACTCTGAGCCTGACTCAGCTTGCTGGACTTTGAGGTAGAAAAAAGGGTGATTTGTGTCTCATACCCGGAGAAACCTTCAGTTTAGATAAGGACATCACGCCAAAATGCCTGGGGTCCCCTGGGTGTTGCAAAAAGTTTGTGCTGTCCAATAAAGTAAAAGTTGGCACTTAGATCATTCTCAAAGGTGCCTCAGAAGATGGATCACTTTCTATAAAGATTACAGCCAAGAACATTGTGGAGCAATTTCTGAAACACTTTAAGAGTTCCCCACGAGTCCACAAGCCAATAGTAGACTTCGTTTTATTTTTCCTCTTGCTTGAGCCCAGTTTTCGATTTGGAAAGGGAACGGAAACAGCATTGATTATTCGGGGGCGATTGAGATGTTGTAAAACACCTTAGATAGACTTGGTAGGAGCAGGGAGGAAGAGCTAATCCCTCCTCCTCCCATTCCCGGGAACAGAACTGGTCTCTTGGACGCAGTTCGGTCCTCCGAGGGGAGGGGGCGCTGTGAGACGGCGAGAGCGGGGCCTGGCCTGTCTCCTCCTCTGCGTCCCGGTCGCCGCTGGTGACCGCGCGGGTGAAGCCGGAAGCGGCGGCCGAATCCGAGCCCAGGCTCTCGGCGGGGGCGGGGCAGTGCAGGGCCGGCCGGTCGGTCCCGAGCCGCGCGGCTCGAGGCCGGTGGCCCCTGTCAAGCGCCATGCTCGGCAGGTCCGGGTACCGGGCGCTGCCCCTGGGGGACTTTGACCGCTTCCAGCAGTCGAGCTTCGGTTTCTTGGGCTCGCAGAAAGGCTGCTTGTCCCCGGAACGGGGCGGCGTGGGGCCGGGGGTCGGTGAGTGGCCGCCCATCACGGCGGATCCGGGAGAGGGGTACAAGCCAGCGCCCCTAGGCCCAAAACCCTTGTCTTTGCAGGAGCCAGCTGGCCTCGCGCTTTTGCATCCTAAGAGAAAGAACTGAGAGGGACAGTGAGCTGAGATGCTGGCCCTGAGGATTGCAGCCCGCACAGCTCTGCCTTCAAAGCCTTGGTCCACCACCTCAACTCTGTCAGCCCTCTAGCCCTGAGCAAGGGTTTCAAGATGCCAATTGCATAGAAGGAAATCGAGGTCTCGGTTGAGGGAGCCACTAGCACTCTAAGCGCACTTGGCTGTAGAATAATGGCAAACACTTCCCCCCAGAGGGCACTTCCTATTCCCAAGTGAAGATGCAAAGACCAAAACCTTCAGCAAGATTGTGTCTATCCTGACCTTGATTTGCTTAAAACCCACAGGGCCAGGTCCCATTCTCAGCATGACAACCAAACTGTAGCCCCCCTGGACTGAGAGCTGCCTTTCTCTACAGGGGATTCCGAGGTGGAGCGATGCAGATACTTAGTGCCCCTGGGGCATGGAAAACCCAGGGCGTGGGGTTTCAAGAAGGATGAAGCAGAAGCACTTTTCTGTTTCCTGTCCAGGACTGGGAGGGAAGGAAGAACAGAATAGTCTTGTCCCAGAGTCTAGTCCTGTTTCAGCTCCATGTCATCCAGGCTTCTGTTCTTTTTCACACCCACTTGAATTGGTTGAAGTGAAGCATGCATTTGATAGGACATTCGTCGGGAGGTTTGGTGGCTTAATGGTAAAAAGTTGTGCTGCAGTTTGGAACTACCAGCTGCACCACATGGTATAGATGGACAATCTTCCTTGGGATTAACTGCCTCTGAAACCCCACATAGCTGGAGGGTTAGCTGTGAGTTACAGGACATTGGTGGTAGAACGTGTTCATTCCATGTGGGAGACCTGGGTTCATTTCCCATCTAGTGTGTATCTATCACTCATCTGTCAGTGAAGGTTTACATGTTGCTGTGATGCTGAACTCTTCACAGCTTAGCCTGTGTGTAGGGATTTGCAAAGTTAACCCAAAAAGTTGCAAAGCTAACCCCAAAGCTACACCTCTCTGGCAGTTGGAATCCCCCAGCGGCTCTGCTGGAGAAAGGTGGGAAACCCAGTGCAGGATCAACAAGGAGTCAGTTCTGACTTGACAGAAGTGAGTGAGCGAATGAGATGATGTTGAACAGGTTTTGGTGGAACTTGAGGACCAGGCAGCATTTAGTTCTCTTGTGCTTGGGGTTGCCTGCTAGCTAGCAACACTGGCTTTAAATAGGATGAGGAGTAGTGAGGTAGGAAAAAAAATCTTACATTCCCCCCCCCATCATCTCTCTATCAATGTTTTATTACTTTAAGCTATTATCTTTAAAAGGACTCCTAGGGTTGCTGATAGAGGTGGATTATGGTATACGAGTTGCATTCAGTTCAACCCAGCTCTGTGCCAGGTATGACTTACTCATTCACTCATTGCCATCGGTCAGAACTGACTCATAGCTGACCCTCTAGCATGTTTTCAGAGGCTATAAATCACACGGAGGGGGAGATTGCCCATATTTCTCTTGTAAAGCAGCTGGTGGTTTCAAACTGTGTGCCTTTGGGAGTGCAATTGCTTAACCTCTAGGCCTCTAGAGCCTCTTCAGGTATCAACATGAGTAGGCAACATAAATCAGGAGGGGCTGATTCCTGTGGAGTCCAACAGGAGATCACCATGTGACTTGGATACAGAGATTAATGATTGGTGCCTGGCAAAGCATGGGACTTGTAGGAGTGAGACTGAGGACAGGCTAGTTTTTATATGTGGGAAGTGAACAGTCCTTATCTAGTACTTGCCAAAAGACACTGAGTTGTTAGGCAAGAAGGCTAATTGAGAATGCCAAGAGGGATGAGCCGTTAAAGGAGAATGTGGACCAAAGCTACACTAGCAGATCTGCTTGGCATTCCTTGACTGCTTCTGCCTTCCTCTAGATGTGCCCCAGAGCTGGCCGTCCTGCATCTGCCACGGTCTCATCAGTTTCCTGGGGTTCTTGCTGCTGCTGCTTACCTTCCCCGTTTCTGGATGGTTTGCTCTGAAGGTAAGGGTCGCTGAGCCACCCCAAGAGCTTTCCCATTGATACCTGACTGAGCCTCTGCCTCTTTCTGCTCAACAACGTGTTCTCTCACCTCTGTGGAATGGACTAGGCAAGAAAGGTTGCTGCCTATCTTCCAGATGAGGAACAAAGGCTCTGAATTGTCTAGAATCATCCAGTGAGGGGTAAATTAAGTCTGCCTAAAAACCCCATAATGCCTTATGTCCCTCTCCAAGGAAAAGCCTCACCTAGCAACATGATCAAAGTATGTGAGATGAAGCTTTCTCATCTTTGCCTCCAACGAGTACTCTGGCTTCACTTCCTCCAAGACATATCTATTTGTTCTTTTTTGACAGTTCTTGGGTTATTCAGTACTCTTCTTCAATACCAAGCTCAAAGACATCAGTTCTTATTCTGTCATCCTTGTTCCATGGAGAGTCTATTCTTTGGAAAAGGGACATCATGCTTAGAAAGGTGGACGTTTGCTCAAAAGAGGAAGACCCTCAACCAGATGGAGTACCACAGTGACTGAAGCAGTGGGCGGCACAGGATAGGACAGAGCTCAGATCTGCTGTACGAGGCATCACTGTGAGTCGTCCTCAACAGCACCTAAGAAAAATAATGACAAACGCAAATATACGAGAAAGCTAAATTAGAAATGAAATCACTTTGGATCAGCAAGTAGTGAGTAATAGATATTCAGGCCTCAGTTTCAATAAGGGATGTTATTGACAGCAAGGCTGACACTGGACTCAACATACTAATATCATGAAGATGGCTCAGGAGTGGGGAGCATTCTATCTGTTTTGTGTAAGGCACCGTGAGTCAGGGCTGTGGTATCAAGAAGTAGAAGAGAGATCCAACAGCCTGGGCAAGCCTGGCCCTTTGTCTATCCCAAGGCAACAGTTCTTTTTAAAAAAGCTTCTGGGTTTGAAAGAAAGGAGTCCTTAGAAAGCTCTATGTCCTAATCCTAAAATTGCCTCTGGAACAGATGCTTGTGTGAACTTGGGTAAGTCACTTTGCATGTCTTGACTGCAGTTTCTCAATTTGGATACTTCTGCTTTTGTGAAGGCTCCAGAGACCTGAAGTTGGCAAAGACCTTTGTCGCAGGTGCAGACAGAGCAGTCTAGCCTCGCCCCCTGACTAATCCCTGGGGAGACAGTTTCCTGATATGAGTAATTTCTAACATCAGATCACAGTGGGGGAAAAGTTCTCTGAGGATCAGGCCATACAGGATGGTGTTGAGAGCGTGGTCTTGGGTATCATTCAGTGGATTCACATCTTGCCTATTTTATTTAGTGGTGGTATGATTTTGAGGCAAGTCACTTAACCTCTCAGAGCTTTGGTTTCCTCATTCAAAACAGATAAGGATGCCTGAGAGACCAAGGCAAGGAGGGGTGGAGAGTGAGGGAGGAACCTGGGCAGAAGTCCCATTTCCCAACCTGTGCTTACCACTGTCACCTCTCTCCTGGCGTTGTGGATAGATCGTGCCCACTTATGAGCGGATGATCGTATTCCGGCTGGGCCGGATCCGCACCCCCAAGGGGCCTGGCATGGTCCTGTTGCTGCCTTTCATTGACTCCTTTCAGAGAGTGGATCTGCGGACACGAGCGTTCAATGTACCTCCCTGCAAGGTGAGAGGCTTGTCAGCGCTCCAGGACAGAGGGCCTGAGGCTGCGCAAGGCATTGTGAGCACCAAGCACAGGGCCCATCTGGGAGAGGGAGGAAGAAAAGATTGACGATGGAGCCTGAGAGGGCATCCTTGCTCCACACACCTAACCCTGTGCCCTTGGGGATGCCATTTGGCCTTTGAGGAGCTAGCTGCCGGGCGGGTCAGGTAGGGGTAGTCTCTCGCTGCAGCCCTTGGTTGCCTTCTCCTTTGTGGTCTCTTCCGACAGCTGGCCTCTAAGGACGGGGCTGTGCTGTCTGTGGGAGCCGATGTCCAGTTCCGCATCTGGGACCCGGTGCTGTCCGTGATGACCGTGAAGGACTTGAACACAGCCACACGCATGACAGCCCAGAATGCCATGACCAAGGCCCTGCTCAAGAGGCCGCTGAGAGAGATCCAACTGGAGAAGCTCAAGATCAGTGACCAGCTCCTGGTAGGCAGCCCAGAGCCCCCTCCACGCCGGGTCACTTTGTACAAAGCACTGGCTCTCTCAGGACCTCAGTTTACCATACGTGCAGCAAGAGTAATATCCTCTAAAGATCAAATAGGGCAGTGGGTGGGCTGTGTGCTGGATAGAAGGTGGGCTCTGGACCCAGTGACCATGGGTGAACATGCTCCTGCCCGAGGGAGGTGAGCAGCTTGGTGGAAATTTGCAGGGCCCATCCCTGACTAGTGAGGTTTCCCTGACTAGTGAGTTATGCGCATCACTGTGCTGGCAGGTCCATGCTCCTCACTGCTGCAGGGGCCTGGCGCAGGCGAGTAAGTAAGCAGGCTTTCATCACCTAGGAAATTCCCTGCTCCTAGTGCAGCTCCTGGATGCACTTTTCTCTTTCTCTCTTTGGCTTTTCTTGTTTTAAACAGGAGACCCTCAATAATATGGATTGATTCAGTGAGGAGGATAATGGGAGTAGGTGTGTCAGAGTCAATAAGATTGGCTCAGGATAGAGCAGGGTTTAAGACTGTTGTACATAGGGTCGCTGTGAGTCATAGGCTACTTGACGGCAGGTAACAACAACATAAGGTTAGGTTATATTTGGACCATTTTCTTGCCTATCTCCATGTTTAGAAAATTTACTTACACTGAAATAAGCTACCTTAAACACTCTGGTAGCCTAGTGGTAAGAAACTGTGCTGTTGTCCCTAAGGCATGCAGTTCAAATCCACCAGCTGTTCCTCAGGAGAAAAATGGGCAGTCTCCTCCCATGTGATTAATTGCCTCTGGAAACCCTCTGGAGGGTCAGCTATAAATCGGTTCTGATTTGACAGTAGACAACGACAAGATGAAGCAGAAGTGACAGCACACAGGGCACTTGCCCCATGTGTATCCTCTCAGGTGACATGCGTGAGGTTTCTCCTCATTCCCCTCTGCTCTGGGAGTTGGGGTTAGAGGGAGGCAGCAAGAGCCGGTGCTGGAGGTCCCAGTCTCTCCAGGAATTTAATTGGAAAACCACAAGACAGGTAAAATTCCCTAGAAAATAATTTTGTGAGAGTGAGGATTGCTCTCTCATGCTTGTTATAGTTTATAAAATCTTTTTACCTGCCCTAAGGTAGCTCAGCTTCATAACTTTGCTGCAAGAGGGGAAGGTATTACTGCTTTATTTTGGAGGATGGAAAGTAAGACTCAAAGAAATACCTTACCTCTACGAGCCATGGTCAAAGGCAGAGCTGGGCCACACCCCAAACCCCTGTTCCACACCAGCCGAGTCCAGTTATCAGTTTTATATAACACAGATAATAAGCTGATAATATATCATCTAACACTGAATTCCCTTTTGATTCATCTTTACTCACTGCTGTCCACTCGATTCTAACTCATGGTGGCCTGTAGGGCCGAGCAGGGTTGATTATGTGCCACGTCTGTAGATCTTTATGGAAACAGACTGCCACATCTCCCACCGAGCAGCTGGGTCCAGCCATGGACTTTATAGTCAGCAGCCCAATGCTTAAATTACTGCATCACTAGGGCTCCTAATTCACCTTTAGGGAGAGAAAGCTGATCTCGGGCATGTTGTCCATTGCTTTGGTGTGGGAGTGTGTTCCAGGACAGGTCAGTCCCCCACCAGGATGCTAGAGAGTCATGAGGGCTGATTGCCCAGACTGAGGGTGCCTGCTGGCGGGGAGTCCAGAGGGAGTCTCCGCAAGTCCAGCTCGCCTCCGAGGCTTTTCCTCTGAGAGGCTTGCACACTCCCCACCTCTTGACAGCGGACAGCCAGACCACGCCTCACTTACCCAGCTGCCTCAGGCTAGCTGTTCACCTTTATGGCTTGCTTCCATCCTCCTCCCTGCCATATAATCATCTGGCCCTGCCTTTTGATCCTTGGGAGAGAAAACTCTGGGAGCCCTTTCCGGTTCCTCACAGCTCAGTCCCTCCAAAGCATCTGTGCACCCATGCTGTTTTACTGCCTCGTTTAAAGCATTCCACTTCCTCTGTTTGAGCCTCATCCCTGCACCCAGGCCTCAGCATCTCTGTTACCCTCTCAGCTTGTCATCTCTCTCTCTCTCCTTTCCTTTACCTAGTTTCCCCCATCTCTTTTCCTTTGGAAAGCCTCCATCTCACCCCTCCCATCTTCTCCCTACCCTCTGGCAGCCTCCTTCTCGCTAGCCCAGTAGCTCCCTCTCGGTCCTTTCCTTATTTCACCTCGTTTAACTCTCAGCAGACCCTGTGTCCCACTCCGACCCCTTATCTTCCACATACTGGCTTTTCTTCTTTGTTTCCTGGTTACTCGTTTGTTATGTCCTCCTGCCTCTCAGCTCCCAGGTTCCCATCCTTATCTCTTCTCCCCTGTGGATCCTGGAGGGACTCAGCGATGTGGGGCTCTTTGCTATCGCTGGTCACTCATTATCCACCCCAAACTGCCCCAGCCCCAACTCTTCTCCTTCACCCTGGACCACTCGTCCAACTGACTGTTGTCACAGATGCCGCAAGCTTTGAATATTTTAAAAGGCCTCCCATAAACCATAAAACCAAAGCCATTGCTGCTAAGTCAGTTTCAAAGTATGCAGTTTTCCCCCTGTTGTTAGATGTGGTTAAGTACAGCCCATAGTAAGCCTGTAAACAACAGACTTGAGCCCTGCCCTGTGTCATCCTCGTCGTCTCTGACACACTTGAGCCCATTGCTGCAGTCACTGTCAACCCATCGCATTGAGGGTCTTCCCCCGTTTGCTGACTCTCCACTTTTCTAGACATCATGTCCCTTTCCAAGTCGTCACCTCTCCTAGCTTACCTCCAAATCTGTCTCCTGCGTATCCTCTGTAGGAATGCCCATGCTTATAACCATGCAGGAACCCAGCCAGAAGCTGGATGCCCCTCCAGCTGCCTCTCCTAGATCCCCGTCTCACATCCAGGCAGTTGACAAGCTGAGTGGATCCTCTTCTTGCATATCTTGCCATGGCTTCAAGTAGTTGACAGAGTTTTGACCCTTCCTCAGTGTATCTTGGCTTCATAGCCACTGCTCTGCCTTACATGAATCCTCATTATTTCTCACCTACCACTTGAGGTGATAGGGCGCCTGGTTGCCCTGCCTCCAACCTCAGCTCCTTCCAATCCAGTGACCACAGAGCAGCCAAGAAGGACCCTGCCTGGTCACCTCCCTGCTCTCACTTCTCTGTGAAATCCCTTGTTGCCTGAGAAATAAACCCAAGTTAGTAGACAAAACCCTTCCCCTCCCACTTGGCTCTCCCTAGACCCCAGCCCACACTTGAAGACCCAGCTACAGGGAGCCGTGGTTACTGGCAGATCTGGAACATGCCAGCTTTGCCTGCCTTAGCTTTTGCACATGTTCCTGTTGCCTGGAAGGGTCCCCCTCCCCCTGATGCTCCATCACTGAGTAATTCCTCCTCTCCCTGGCATCATCTCCTGCTCCAGGCCTCCCTGGCCCTTCAGCCTGGCCAGGCCCCCCTCCTGGGTGTCCACACCTCCCTCCTTTTTGCGCACTCCCTCAGCTGGGTCCCATTTTCCCTCCGCTTGCTCTCCCAGGCTGGGAGCTCTCTGGAGGCAGTTGTGATGCCTTACCTGTCTCCATGTCCCCGTCTGGCCATCCCAGCCTATCTAGAGAGTGCTTGGGGAAGGTACAGTGAATCTCTCCCATTTCTCTCTACGTTCTTCTCCAGCTGGAGATCAATGATGTGACCCGGGCCTGGGGGCTGGAGGTAGACCGTGTGGAGCTGGCAGTGGAGGCCGTGCTTCAGCCTCCCCAGGACAGCCCAGCTGGGCCCAGCCTGGACAGTACCCTCCAGCAGCTGGCCCTTCACTTCCTGGGTGGAGGCGTGTCCTCAGTGGCTGGCGGTGCCCCACCGCAGGGGCCAGGTAAGGAGCTCTGAGGGGAGCGTGAAGGAGAAACTGCCACTCTTGTGTGCCTGGACTGAAAAGAAATGAGACTTTTTGTGGGGAGAAGAGTGTTTTGTGGGAAGTTGATGCTACCCTCAACTTCTCCAGCTTCTCTGGCACCTGTGATGGAGACAGAACTGGGCATCTTATGAGACCCCACACCAGAGCAGTGAGCTTGGCTAGCAGAGCACAACAGATTTGGCCACTTGCCCCCTGTACCAAGGCATCTTTGTGCAGTGCACATCTGGCACAGCTGTTCAGGAAGCCCTGATACTGGCGCCTACCAGCGCCAAGGCAGTGGGAAGAGTCCTGGTGTCTGGGAGTGTGTAGAAGCCTTTGGGAACTCCATGGGAGGAAACTACAGGGCCCAGAGAGTAGCTGGAAAGATAGTTTTATGTTCAGAGCTGGAGTAGCCTGGACTGAGGTAGGGGATTAAAGGTGGAGCCCCAAGGGAGGCTTCTTTGCAGAAGATGGAGTTGAACAGAAATCTAAAAGGACATGAAGGCACTGAGGCCACAGCTGTCCTGACCTGGGCAACCAGCCAACTAACCTCTGCCCCTCCTTCTCCCGCCTCCCTCCCACAGCAGACACCCTGGAGATGGTGAGTGAAGTCGAGCCGCCGGCCCCTCATGCCAGTGCCGGGCCCGGCCTGAGCCAGCCTGTGGCCGAGGGGCTGCTGGCTGCTCTGCAGCCCTTCCTGTCAGAGGCCCTGGTCAGCCAGGTGGGCGCCTGCTACCAGTTCAACGTTGTCCTACCCAGTGGCACCCAGAGCACTTACTTCCTGGACCTCAGCACAGGTGCAGTGGCCTCTCCGCCCCTTCACACCCTGCGGGCCCCTTTCAGGCTGTCTCCTACTGCTGCTGGCCCTTGTGGGAGGTCACAGAAGTCTAGGGCCCCCATGCCATTTTCAGGCAATGACGTCTAGGTCCAGCCCTCTACCAGCCCGGATGGCCAGGCTTCCCGCACCACGGGCCTGTGCGTATTGTGGACTGCCATGTGCCAGGCACTCTGCGAAGTGCTAGTTGCATAGTACGTCACCTACTTCTCATCATGATCCTGTGATTTAGGGATTGCCATCACCCCCACTTTACAGATCAGGAAAGTGAGGTGCTAAGTGGCTATACAGCAGTTGGGACTAATAATCCAAGATATTATTACCTGAACCCTTACCCAGTATACCCCACGTCTCTTAACGACAGCCCTACAGTCCAGCCATTCTGACACGGACGGAGGAGGGGTTTTGTATGTGTTCTTATTTTACAGAATTGGTTAACAGATTCAGCAGCACCAGCCCATTCCGCACAACTCCACCACCACCCCTACACTGGTAATCATTCCCCTAATGTCCCATTTTCTTTCTCCCACAGGGCGAGGGAAAGTGGGACACGGGGCTCCTGAAGGCGTCCCCGATGTGGTGGTGGAGATGGCTGAGGCGGATCTCAGGGCCCTGCTGTGCAGGGAGCTGCGGCCCCTGGGGGCCTACATGAGTGGACGGCTGAAGGTGAAGGGTGACCTGGCCGTGGCCATGAAGTTGGAGGCTGTCCTGAGGGCCTTGAAGTAGCAGCCTTGGCAGACCACCCATAACCCAGGCCCCAGTTGGCACAAGCCAGGGGGACCTAAGAGGGCAGCGTGGCATTGATGTATGTCAGAGAATTGGGGCATTCCCAGGCATTTCAGACCCAGCCAGGAGTCAGTGGGTGGACAGCAGAGATTGGGAGAGGCAGCCCTGCCCTCACCTGCAGCACAAGTTTTTGCCCAACTTGGAGCTGGTTACATGGTGGATGACCAGAGGATTGCTGCGCCTGAGCTGCTCTGCTGGCCACCTGGCTGCAGAGGCGGGACCAGAGAAATGGCCTGGCAGGCCTGGCAGCTGCCACTTAACCCTGTGTGAGGGTGCAGGCTTCAGGTCCCAGGGGATCTCTGAAGGAGGTGACACCGAGAGGGTGGGGGAGGGAGAAGGCAGGCAGGAGAAGGCACTGCAGCGAGGACACCTGGGATGGGGACACCCGGGATGGGGGCGCAGGCTGGGCCTGCCTTTGGGGGAGTGGGAAAGATCAGAACTTGCTGCTTGTGTCGTCTGCTCCTGAACACGTGGCTCGCTTCCTGGTGCCATCTTGCATGCATGGCAGGCTGGGACTCAGGGCAGCATGAAGGAGAGCCCTGCCCGTGCCACTCGCCAGAGGATTGGAAACCAATGAAAAAATAATAAACACACATACAATCAATAAGAGATCAAATGGAGCCTTGATGGGGTAGGGATAGGTTAGGAAGGTCCCTGAGGCTGTGCCCTGGCTGCTCAGGTACCAGGTCCTGGAAGCACTGACCTGGCCCCACCAGCGGGAATGCAGGACAGGAAGTCACTGTTGTGTCTGCAGTGAGGACAGGTTGGACACCCAAGGGGTGTGGGTGGGTCAGAGTTGGGCCCCAGTGAGCGTGGGTTGGGAGGCCTATCACGTTAAGGAGCAGGATAGGCTGTGATCGTTCCCTCCTCCAGTTCCACCCAAGGTCATTGCTTGTCAGCAGGCTGGAAGGACACACAAACGAACAGTAAGATCCATCTCAGGGCCCTCCCAGCTTTCTGTTCCAGTGCTCCAGCCTCAACCCCAGGGACCTTAGTGCTGGGCCACTGACTTCTCTAGCTCACTTCTTGGAGAATGTTGTAGAAAAACAGACAATAGTTGGAGCTAAGTGAATATTCCCCATTGAGGAATGAATAGCTCAGCTTGTCCCCTGGCACCAGACTTGGCCCTCCCCGGGCGTGCTCCCCCTCCTCAGCATCGGATTGAGTCAGGTCTTGCTCCTGCCGGCGCCAGCCTCTCCCTCTTCCTTTGGGTTATCATTGTGCCGTGGCACCTCCCCAGGCCCTGCACAGACCATGCAGCCTGAGGGTTCAGCTCTCCCCACAAGCCCAGAATATCCACTATTGTCCCCCTCAATTTTCTTAGGCTTCCCAGCTGGAGTTCTTTGCCCACCAGCTCCGCTTCCTTCAATCCCACCAGCCACACACTTGAGGCCCGGGGGGATGGCAGTGCTGGGTCCCTACAATGTCCCTGCACATTGTTGCTGATGTTTGTGTCTGCCTTCCCTGAGGGACCAAGAGGAGGCAGTTGGAATGTGTCCCCTCCAATACCAGTGCACACAGTGTTATGGGAAGCCCCGCCCATCTCCCCTGGAAAGCTGAGCTTCTGTGGAAAGACACCCACTGGTGGTCTGGGTCAGCCTGGGCTGAGGGAGGCAGATCTGAGGGCTGGGGGAGGCAGAAATGGCAACGTCACAGTTCAGGGGAAACTGAAGCTCAGTTCTGATTCTCTTGATGGACGTGGAAGGATCAATAGAACATTTCGGGGAAATGGAAACTCTTCTAGACATCTGTGTGGGTGGAGAACAAGGTCTGCCAGCCCAGCATTAATGGAAGGGAATTGGTTTCTTGACCAGACCAACACCAGGAAAAGGAGCCCACAGGCTCCAGGGTCATGGACTAGGGAGGACTAAGACCTTGCAGTCCACAAAGAATGAGGACTGCAGTGAAGGAGGGGAGGATGGAGGAGGAAGGATGAGCAAGGTGTGTGTCAGTCATGGATGTCTTCCTGGAGAAAGTGATGCCTGATCCTTAAGTGAGCCATGATAGGAGGTAACGAGAAAAGGGGAAAGTCCCTACAAGGGCACTTTCAGGAACTGAAACCTAAAGTAAGAATCAGATGTCGGCAGGGATGGAGGGGAAGGGTTAAAAATAGTGTCTGTTATCGTATGCCAAATATGTCCCTGTCTTGAACTATATCACCCTCTGCCATTGCGTGGTTTTTGCTCATTGTGACCCTCCATTGGGTTTCCAAGGCTGCAAATCTTTATGGGAAGAGACCGCCCATGTCCTGTGATCTTTCAATTAGCAGCTTGACACATTATGCATTTTGTTGCCAGGATTAGATATTCTACACACACACACACATGTATATTCATATATTCATCTATCTATATATCATACATGCATGCATGCATATATTTCATATATATATCTATATCTGTATCTCTCTCTCTATATCTATATATATATATATACACACACACACACACACACACATATATATACACACATATACAGATTGTTAGCACTAGGCCACCAGAGCGCCCTAAGAATAACTATATGAGTCTAGCGTATATATGTAATAGAGAGAGACAGACCCTGATGGCTTAGTGGTAAGGAGTAGTGCTGCCAGCCCAAATGTACACAGTTTGAATCCACCAGCTGTTCCACAGGAGAGCTGGACTGCCTCCTTCCGTGCAACTTACTGTGTCAGAAAACCACTGAAGGGTCAGCTATGAGCCAGATCCAACTTGACAGTACAACAACAACATATAAATGTACGTATATGTTGTTGGATGCCAACAATAACAACTATGTGTGTGCATGCATGTGTATATGTATCTATGTGTGGTTTTTATCCCCTCTACACAACTTGGTTAATGATACTTTAAACAAATGTTTGTAATTCTGAGTTTTTTCTGCCCTTAAAATACTTATTTCTTCATAGAGAAAAGAAGGATGAGAAAGGAATCAAAGGCAGAGACAAAGGGATGGAAACAAGTTAAAAAGCACCTGGTTGAGTGCTATTCAGACATTGTATTTTCTTTAGCCTTTATGATCTTAACCTGTGACATTAGACTGTCTTAACTATAATGCATGTTCTCCCAGAAACATGTGAGTTTTAAATAAATCATTACTGATTTTTCAAGTTGGTATGATTTAAGTGAAAGCTTACAGAGCAAATATTTCCATTCACTCAGTCCTATGTATTTGGTTTTATGACAATTACAGACTTTGCGTTGTAACAGCACTCTTCCCACTTTATCCCAGTGACTCTCATTTCTGTTCAGCCTCTGTCCACTCCTTTTCTGCCTTCCGTATTTTATCCCTGGCAAATGTTGTCCTTTGATCTTGAACGGTTGCATGTTTTAAGGAGTGAGTCTTTCCCTGGGTTTACTGTTCACCTTAGAGGCCTGTCTGTCATGCTTCGAAGGTGTAGAGTCAGTGAAACAGAAGACCCTCAATGAGATGGATTGACAGAGTAACTGAAGCAATGGGCTATTGCCTCCTCTCACTTGGTATAATACTGTCTCATCTCACTTTCTTCTTAAAAATACCCTCGACTAAACTAATCAGCCACCATTATGGAGGCAATAGAGAGATTGGAGGAATTTCTAAAGATGGAGAAAAGAACGGGCTCCTGAGCCCTGATGGAGAGATCAACCTTGGATCAGAGAAGGAAGAGAGGAGGTGAGAATTCCAGAAAATGTCTGGGTGAAGGCAGAACATCTCTTTAATTACCCTTCCCAGAACGTAGGAAGCTTGAGGATGTATATTAACAGGAACAATTTCAAGGGAAAGTTGTGTTCCTGGTAAATCTTAGTCATGGAGGGCCTCCCTGTCCTTGGTCCTCAATGGAGTCTATAAGCCAGAACTTATGACATGAGACTGATGAGGAGGTGGGAACTTGGGTGGGGGATGTTCGTGTATTGGAGGCTAAGTGGCACTCCCTGGAGTGTGGTACGTCTCTGTATACACAGCTGCTGTTGTAAGGCACCATCAAGTCGTTTACAACTTATAGCAGCCTGTGTACCACAGGATGAAACCCTGCCAGTCCTGTACCATCTGAAGACCATGGTGAAAAGTTACTGTGCCATTCCATTGCACTGAGTGTCTTTCTCTGTGTCAGTCCATCTCACTGAGTGTCTTTCTTTGATCCAGTCCATCTCACTGAGTGTCTTTCTCTGAGTTGGTCCGTCTCATTGAGTGTCTTTCTCTGTTTCATTAACCTTCTCTTTTCCCTCCTGTTTTCCAACCATAGTGGCCTTCTCCAGGGACCAGCCCCTCCTGTTAACAGACCCAAAGTATGTGAGACAAAACATTAGCATCTTTGCTTCTAAGAAGCCTTCTGGCTGCACGTCTTCTAGGACAGACTTGTTTATTCTTTTGCATCCCTTGGGATATCCAGTATTCTTCACTGACACCACAATTCAAAGGCACACATTCACCACCATTCAAAGGCACACATTCTTCTGTCTTCTTATTCATTATCTAACTTTTATGTGCATATGAGGCAATGATAAGGAGTTCTGTTGCCAAAACAAAGATACATGGTTTGAGTCTATCAGCTGCTCTGCAGAAGAAAGGCAGTCTCCTCCTGTGCAATTTTACCACCTCTGAAAACCCACTGGAGGTTCAGCTCTGGGCTGCTTCCAGCTTGACAGTATATAGTAACACCAATGGCTTGAGTTCGGTGTACCTTAGGCTTTAAATGGATATCATTGCTCTTTAAAGAGACAGCAGATTAGCTATATTAATCTAAATTTATCTTTGCTATTGTGTATGCATATATCAATTCCATAGTTTTTATATAGACAATTCAGTGACCCTGATTACATCCTTTGAGCTGTATGATCATTCCAACTTCCTTTTCTGAGTTGTTGCTTCCCCATTGACATAAACTCGCTCCCCTCCAAGGTCCCAGTTAATCTTTTGGGTTGCTATTGTCAGTTTTATTTCACACACCACTGCTGTCAAATTCATTTTGACTCAGAATCCCTACAGAATAGAGAACTGCTCCA